ATGATGACTTGATAACTGCTAATTTTGGTGCAAGTAACTTGCCTGCTGCTTTACAGGGAGCTGGGAGCAGAGCTGGCACTGGATTCAGTCCAGGGGAATTTCAATTCCAGGCTGAAGTCAGTATGGCAGATCATGGGTTTTCTTAGTTTGCTACTCTGAACTGATTGAAAACTGAGTGGAACATACAGAGATTTACTTCTACATAAGGTCTGCTATGATTTGAACTTAACTGATTTCTTCTAGCAAGGGCCACAACCCTTGCTAGAGATAAAGTGCAGATAACCAGGATATTGTAACACACCAGGGTATTCAGGAATGAGCTGAACACACCTCAGAGCTGGAGTTTGCATCCTTCATTTTTAAAGCAGCAGAAATATACAGAAACATTTAGAAAAGGAACAAATCTGTATTTTCAAGTTACCATACAGTAAGTAAAATCAATTGTGATTTATTTCCTTTTATGATGATACCTTTAACTCTAATGCTGTAAACCATCAACATTTATACTATAGAAGTTCTTCATCTATCACACATGCTTTGCTAGTCTTAGCTCAGCTCAAATGATAAACAGTTTCTATGAATTCCCAGTTTTCAGTACAGTGAATGGTGTCTCTTTCCCAAGCAAGACCAAACAAAATAAAATTTCATAGTATCTAAGTACAATATATCTGCTTTCCAAGTAGAAACCTGGTTTGTTAGGCAGGATTTAAAAATCTACTGGAACACATCATGTGTGGTTTTTATTAATCTGTATTTTCTAAGTATTGACTTTAGGCTTCTACTGAACCTGGAGCAAATTCTCTGCTTTCCAATGGAGCACCTGAAATACACAATGCTTCCATGGGAAACTTCTGATTTTTAGATAAATTGCTGAAAGATAATCCTAAACAAAGCATTACTGTTTCCTTTTTGTTGTAAGATAGAAAACATCACAGGCCCTAATACATCTAAGGGGAAAGATCCCCCAAGTTTTAAAATATTTGATTTAAAATATTTTAACTTCTACTTGTCTTTTGTGAAAATTTAAGATAAGCATTCTTGAGGAAAATAGCTGTTAATGTAGAATATCTGAAATCTAGTCCTATTAAAACGTTTGAGAAACAGTGTTTACAGGGGCAAAATTCACAGCTGGTCCTTACAAACCACATACATATGCAAGCAGTGGGTGGGAGTAGGAGGGAGCATAGCAAGGGCCTGCCTAATTTTAGGTGCCAGCCTTATGATACAGAGCTGCCATATGTTAAAGGTGAACACAGTGGGAGGATGGAAGAGATTAACTAGAATGGGTTTTCTGGGGAAAAATGAGTGTGTCCCAGCTATGGGGTTTTACACTGTTCTTGTGTGATTTTAAACTATCAGGATTAAACATTAATTAGCAGATACCTCACTGGGAGGGCAGTTCTGCATGGACCCTTTCTCCTATTTGAAAATCAAACCCAGAAATTCCTAATTCACAAAATCAGTTCAGTGGCAGAATGAATAGACACTGCACTGCTGAATTTTAGTGCTGGAGCATACAGCAAAAGGGAGATTTTGTTCTGGTGGTGCTTGGTTAGAACACTTTGCAAACTCATTTAGCCTGGGCAAAACCAGCCACATGAAAACTTTAAAAGTGAGTAAGATGGACTTTCTCCTCTTTACAAAACTTTTTCCATCCTAATGCCTCCCAGGTGACTCTAAGTGCTCTCACACCCATCTGGGGTAGGTGGTACTCTATGAGGGCTCATCAGCCCCTTTGTGTTTCTGGGACTTACAGATGAAATGTCTGCTTGGGACAGAAATGGCTATTAGAAAATCAGTAAGGTAAAAAATGCCTTCATCAATCATTTCATAGTAAAAATAATTAATGAACCTTTTTACCTTATTATGTGGGGTCTCTTCAATGCACTGATCCTCCAAGTTCAAGGCAGAGAATAGAAAAATGGGGGAGGATCCAGAGGAGGGTCACCAAGGTGATGAGAAGGTTGGAGAACTTGGCACATGAAGAAATGTTGAGGGAATTGGGTTTGTTCAGCCCACTCTAATCACAAAGATGCTGGGCACAGTCAAGAACCAATGAGCTGCTTCAGGGGAAATTTTGTCTAGGTTAACAAAATATTCTGCACTGTGATACCAACTAAATGGTGGAATGGGATACCCAGCCAGTATAAAAAGGATTGAGATCCCAAATGTACATTGGGCAAGAAACAGGCACCAGTGCTTTATTTCTCTTGAAACAAAGCATGAATCTGGTGTCATGTGGGAATGACTGGTGGTATTGCTACATAAAAATACAACAGTGCTTGTCCTTTCTGTTATTTTAAAGTACAAGTTATCTTTTTCCCTAGTGCAGCCTGAGCTGTAACTCAGAGAAGCTTCCATTCCAGTTTGCTATTCCATGGTGAAGCTGTAGAAATGAGCTTAATGCCCAGCCCAGCTCAGGTCAGTTTTAGCAGTCTAAAAGGTGGTTTCTCACACTTGCAGCACTGACAAGTCGTGGCAATGTGGTTGATTGAAAATAATTTACTGAAGCTGAAATGATTTGCTGCATAAAAGTGGTGATTTCAAAAGTTTCCTTGAAGTCAAGATTCATGGACAAGATTCAGCTTTCCCTGGTAGGTACAGGGAGCTGCTCAGCCCCATGTAAATGTTTTATTCATGTCAATTATTCACATAAGTGGGTTTCACTTTAGTGTGTAACACAAGCCAGCTGGTTTGCTTCTTTTAAACTGATTTCTCATGCACCTCATATTGCTACACCCCTTCAGAGATATTTATGGAAATTTCACAGCAAGCTGTCTCAAGCTTATGTGCTATTAAGATTCCTTTCTGGGGTGTTTACTGCATTAGATTTATAATGTATAGATTTATGGACTCAGCTACTTGATGGCCCAATAAAGCATGTTGGAACTGAAGGCAACTGCTAATTAAAATAATATTTGATTGTATATTTGTATACAGGGAAGTGGGCTAGTGTTGAAATACTCTTAAGCCCCTCGTGGCTTTCGCTGGGCTAAAAATGAATGAAAGGATTCTAAAGTAGAATAAAAGGATTGACATTTACAGCCAAAGAGAAAAAGAAGGTTACAGCATTAGTACCAGGGCTGTGAAGTATCAACTATTCTGATAATCCCCATTTAAACAATTAAGATTAAATCCTACAGGAAAGGATCAGCTGGTAAGATGGTCCCTCAAGCTAAGTTCCTTCTAGAAAAAGGCTATTTTCAGTGTTGGTTTTCACCCTGAAATCTCCACCATTTGGTGTTAGAAACAAGGGACTGTGCAAGCCGTGCTCCTTGCTCCAAGCAGTCCACAGCTGATTTCATATACATTACACAGTGCAGTAAGAGGTATGGATTGCCAGGCATGCAAACAGCCTGGCTTACACTCTGCAAAGGCATTTGGAAACAGTGATGGAAGCAAAACAAGGAAATAGTTAAAAATAATATTAATTACTGTGATGTGTTATTGAAATGCTCAGTTAATTCCATTCTAATGAGCTGCATTAAGAACTCTAACACCACTTCAGTGTGGTGACTCCACTCAGAAGCTTTTAGCCAGTGGTCACAAAGGGTGATTTCCCTTCTCTGCCATTAAATGGATAAATTTTCCTTGTCTTCCTTCTTCACAAAGACCGACAGGCAGATTTTTTTAGGACAATGGAAAACCCAGGCAGTGTCACCAGAAGCAAATGAAGAGAGTCACTAACAGTGAGATCTACAAAAAGTCCTGAAAAAGCTTTTTCATGTGAACTCCTGAGCTCCAATCTGTACTTTCAGCAACTGGGGATAAGATGCAAAACATCTGATGCATTCTGCAAATTAGGCTTGCACCACCTAGAGTAGCTGAGATTCTACTGTTGCTAATAAGGATCTGCTTGTCACATCTGCAATGGTTCAGCATCCAAGTGCAGAGCCCAGAAAGAAGTGTCTGCACATATCCAGCAAATGCAGCTTTCTGCTGAGCCATTGAGATACACAACTATGTGAAACACAGGAACAAACCCAAAAATACCCCGGGGGGGATGCTTCAAGAATATGTAATTTCTTTTGTTCTGATTCTAAATTTTATTTGCTATTATTGATAATACAGTCTTCAAGCTCAGTTTCCAGTCGCACAGGCACAAACCCATAGTATTTCTGAGAAAAAAGTGCAGCATCCACCTTAACTTCCAACCTGTCCTATCATGGCTCCCTGCTTGAACAGAGAGCCCAAGGGAACAGTGCTCTATTTTAACAGTCGCTCTTGTATTTATTTCCATTGCTATGAAACTGGCTTTTAATTCACTTTCATTTCCTAAGCTATTTTTCTACAATTTCTTCCTTTTTTTTGGTATAAATCTCAAGTAGTAACCTACATCTGTCTGGAAATAAAAGGCACCCTTTGATTAGAGCTGGAATGCAGGATCATATACAGTGTGTTTGGAAGCCTCTGCAGAAAAAAAACATGTCTGCTTTAATACATCTCGCTCGAGGCAGCACGGGGTGAGGCAAGGACAACTGAGCAGCGTGCTTGAAAAAAAAAGGAAAAAAACCTGCTTTTCTTGGCCAGTTAATGCATCAAGTTCAGTGTTATTTACGTGACTTTTGGAAGAGTTTGGGGTAAAAGTAATTTATTTGCTGCCCTTCCTCTCTTTTAGAAGACTGCAGAATTCCACCTGCAAAACTGTGTTTCTGGCACCTGTAAGAATTAGACACTGTGGAAATTTCAGCAGCTAGAATATTACTATTAACTAGATCATGATATATACAGAATGGAGGTGAATTATATTTTTCACAATTTCCTTCAATCTTTCAGAGGAATAATTAAAAACCCCCTATTATATATAATATAATAGGGTTTATATATATAATAGTGTTTATATACATAATTTATATATAATCTTCACTACATTCTAGAAGAAACAAGAGCATACAGTGCAATGTGAAATAAATTTTTCTATTAATTCTAGGATTGAAAATATGTTTAGTTTGATGTGCTTCTATTTCAAATCTGACCCTTTTTTTCCCAGAATTACTCACTTGATAAAATATTTGATTCCATCAGCTGTATAAGCTTCTTCCCATCCATAAGGCAGACCTAAGAGGAGATAAATAAGAAGTCTCTGAAAACTCAAGTGACACAGAGAACACAGTTTTGAGATAGTGTAAGTTACAATGCTGTCATTTCAAACAATGTATTAAAAAGATTATAAATCAATTCCTACTTTTGTAACAGATAATAATATAAACAATACAATTTAACAAATACTTGCTGTGCCACAAAGCTACTGGCTTAGATGATTTGATGATACATTTATCACCAGATGATAATTTTTGGTAAGTATCATTTGATGACGCTTCTATTACTAGAATGATGAGTAATACTTCTCGTAGGGTACTATTCTATATTCTTTTAAAAATTAAATTGTCCTAGCAAATCTTTTACCTTTTTAATAACTATTTATTCAAAACTAACTCTTTGTAGGGTTTGAAAAGTGCTGGAGAAAGAAGCATCAGTCCCTGTGTGAAAATGCTCCTGCTTTTGTGACACTGTACTGTGAAGTACATAATGGCAAGTGCAAGGGCCTGAAAAAGTGTGGGTCTTTGAGACTAGAAATATATATCAAATTCAAATATGCAAGAAAAATTCTTCTTGAAGTGTTTTGCTTGAAACTCATCGCGAAATGTTAGTGTCTTAGGAGTTAAACTATTTTTGTTCAAGTCCCAGTGTATCTCGAAGACCAGCTCATTAGAACCATCTGTGAGCCTGCTTTTGGTTTAGAACTTTTATTTGGAAAATGTGCTGGACTGCACGCACCATCTGAGCTTTGAAAGCTGCCTCCTCCCAAGGACTGCCCTAATTGCACATGTTTATTTTTTTAAAATTCTTTTTTAAAAGGCTGATTTTCTTCTGTTGTCACACCTTTGTCCCTAGTGTGGTTCTTCTTAAAAGTGTGGAGAGGGGTAACTTCAGTTCTCCAGTATGAACAGGTTCATGACAGCCACTGAATCAGGACTGGGCACACTGGAGCTGGTACAAACCTCCTGGGAAGGAATTGAACCTGTAGGCACCCAGCGAGGAGCAACAAGGAACCAAAACTCCACAACTCAGAAGGGAACTTGAGAACTGGGAACTAGAACAGAACTGTGATCAGTCAGTACAGCTTGAAAAAGAAAAGAACCCATTGGACTGATTTTCTTTTTTCCTATCAGTTTTACCCCCACTAGGCACTTATCTCAGGCTTCTTCTCATTTTCAGTTTAGAACAGATCTATACAATCTGTTCCTCAAACACACTACCCACTACCTTTCAAAGAGAATAATCCACAGCTACTTCCCTTTAAACACAAAGTTTAAATTTGTGTTTAAATTTAAGAGAGCTGTGCAGCAGCTCTCAGGGTCCGACTCTGTTATGAAGGGAGGAAGGAAAGGATGTTTTAAGCTATAAATATGCTAGACATGGTCACTGGCTCTTCCTTCCTCTCCCAGGAAAATGGGACCTTAATTCAGCATGGGTATTTTCTGGTTATTTAAATGGCAATGGGATTCATTCCTCAGTTGCTTCCATCTGCCCCAGCCTTTCATTTTTCCTGCATGAAACATGCATGTCCAAATAAATGACAAGGGATTTGCTCAATTATGAGTGAAAGCCCAGCATCTGCTCTGTACTCACATGGATCCCCTACGTCACCTGTTTCATTTATCAGTGATAATTGCACTTTTTTCCACTGGTGATTTGATTAAAATTATGGTCTTTTTTCCTCTTCTAAATGAAGAACTGTACATAGGTAGCAATAACTGATACTCTGTATTCTTCCCTTACCCACTGAAGACTTTGCTTTTCAAATACAGTGAATACATTTGTCACCTAGGAATCAAACTGGAAATATCTCCAGTGCTTTATTTGCCTTTTTGACTTTGTATGCATTAGATTGTGTATCCTATCCATTCTTTATATGCTTCCACATTCCACCTACATCTACAGGTTTTTTAATGCTTTTATTTTCCAAACGTTTTACTTGCTCTTCACTAGGTTTGTAGTGCTGTTCTGTATTGCTTTCCTTCCCTTTCAGATTTGTACTTCTATTTCTTGCATTTCCCCTGGTAGCTAGGAAGCTCTCATGTTTTGCATTGTATTTCCCCAGACATCATCTCCACTTCCTCCAAGCTCACTGTCTCCATGAATCATTCATAAGTTGATCTACTTCCTCCTGTTTTATTTTTTTACACCCTCCAGGGTCAAATTTGTTGTTTGTCCCAGGACTTGCTTTGAAAGGCTGCTAAGCTCTCACCTGGAGTAAACGGGAGGTAAAGGAGCTGAAAAAGTCAGAAAACAGTCTGAAATATACAGGATTTAGCCTACATAAACTCCAGCAATCTCAGATTTCCTGCATATTTATATTTTCTAGTGTGAACTGCTGCAGTCTCCTTGATGAATCTTCATAAATAATATATTTGGCTTCAGTTGTCTGCATAGATCATCTTAAGAAATCACAGATTTACAGTACCTAAAAACTAGTTCATTTCAACAGAAAATAGAGGGCTTCTTGCTATTCAAATACTTGTGATTATTTACCTTCTGCAAGGTAAAGAAAAGGTAAAACTGCGAAAGCAATTGTGCATGCACAAGGAAGAGCAGCCTCCTGAGAGAGAGTGCTTTAGTCAAAATACAGAATAACCTACAGCATTTTGTTCTGAGTATGTGCATTTCATTAGGGCTGATGCCAAGGAAATGTCTGTAATTCTCTGTTGTTTGTGCCGGGCAGGTCCCTGGGGACTGCTCCTCCTTCCCTGAGCTGCCTGCTGGATAACCACTGCTCCGAGTTTAGAGAAGCTGAGAGGAAATGAAGCCCTGGGGCAAACAGAACCTTCCTGATCCCTGGTAAGTGTGCAGCTCATCGATCTTTATCACCTCCCTGGTTTAACAGGACAAAAACTGCAGCAGCACTGACACTGTGGGTCCCAGAAAAAAAAGAGATGAGCATCAGCCCCAATTATAAACCTGGAGGAGTGATAGACATGAAGACTTTGCCTGCAGCTCCCAGGAGAGGATGTGTGTGCTCTCCCTCAGTAACACTGCTCATGGCATGATTCTTCATGTCTCTAAAGCAAAAAGGGGGAAATACAGGTATTAGGGGCAAAGTATCATTTTTCTGGGCAGTTATCAAACCTAGAAACTGCACTGATGTAGCTGGGTGATATTCCCCCCCCCCCCCCCCAAATAATCTAGAAAAAATTATTAAAGCAAAAGAGACGTAGAGATCAGCAGATGAAAGTACTAAAGCAGATACAACAGCAGAACATTCAGTTGACTCAAAACTGCAATCCTGACATCAAAATACTACAGTCCATAAATGCTCTATTTTGCTTAATTTTTGACAAAATTACTCCAAGGAAATGAGGGATTTAGAGCCTATAGTAAGGATCACTAAAATAAATGCACTGTGTACTAGGATTCTATCTGGATTTGCCCTGTTTAGATGCTTCAAGATAAGTATGTCCATAAGTGCTTTCTTTTGGCTTTGGGGCCAGAATTTAAAACTCTCCTTCCATTACAGCAGGTACCAAACTGCACTGATGAATCTGGAAGGAGTGCTTAGGGACAACTGCCTCCCAGAGGTGCTAATCTCACCCTAAGTATCTTCTGTGAAACACAAACTAATTTCCAGCATTGTTCACACTTTGTCATCCACCATGAAAAGGGTCTCTGGCTATATTCCCTTCCTGTGATGGATAAACAGTCAGTATTTGGAATTAATATAAAGTTTAAGGGACACAGTATCTATCTGCAATGCTAAAGCCACATTGTACACATATTCTGTATCACAATGAACCATTCTTTGATCAACAACAGAAACAAGGATGTCTTTGTTACATATCCTTTTATGACTTTTCCAGTTGTACATATCTTTTTTACATACTAGAGTATGGGCCAGCTCATACCCTTTATTTATCTCCTGATAATTTATTTGTATTTAGTATCAGAGACTCAAAAATGATAGGGTATTTTAAGAAACCCCATTACCTGTTAAAAGGAATTACCCGTTAAAAGGTTTTCTCATACAGAAGATTTGCTAAAGAACATTAAAACCAGTTTTCTCTGTCACTTGATAAATGTGGTTTTGAATTCTGATCTCTTTTCAACAGCCATCAATTTCAGCTCTTATCAACATTTAAACCTTCCTCCAGTGGCTTCAATAATTAAGGAAAAGGTGTAAATTAAGATCCCCAGTGCCTTTTGCTCTTCTCTTCCGAGCTATTTAAGCAATGCATAGAGGATGGAAGCTGAAGGTCTGATTTGCTGGTTCTAAGTTGCCTGGTTTTGGACTCCTGAGTGCTACTGGAATATGGGAATATCCCAGAGATGACACCAGAGGGATCGTGGTGTGAGACCAGCAGAGGGACTCTCTATGACATACGTAATTTGACACAACTAAAGCAAAAATCTGCAGACAAATATCCACTCTTGTTTGTCCAGAGTGTTCAGAAGGGTGCAGGCACAAAATGGACTTCTATATTTTGAAGCTATCAATAATATAAGCTGTTTTTTATCAATAATATTCCTGCCTTTTTGTGAATTAAATTATAAACACTCAGGTTCTGGAAAACAGCTTTCAGGAGTGAATATGCACTTCTGGCATTTGCTTGTGTGTCACTTTAGATCATTTCAAGTGCTTTTCCCAAAACCAAATATGTTTCCTTTCATAAATAATACTCTGTTGAGGGGACATTCCATTCCTTTTTTTCACATATCAAATTCCATTTTAAAGAAATTGTTCTTTTCGTTTGTTGTTGGTCACTTAATAGAACAAAGATGACTCAGGAATCTTCTAGAGGAGACATCTGGGAAATAGTAGCAACTGAAGCTTCTGCTGATTTGCACTATGGTTGGCAGATTGGCTTGTCTCCCTTCAGTCTGTTCCTAGAAACCAGGCTGCAGGAACAGGATTTGTCTCACTGTGGACATTCAGAGCATGGTGAAGGATGAGCTTGTGTTTTTCCACTGCCTATTAATCATAACATATTGACCCATCTGTGTGGGCAAACTCGTTAATCTTGGATTAAAACAATTACAACATAAAATTGAGAATGAGTTAT